ATAGAGTTTGATTTTACATGATGTCCTTCAAACTTTCTAAACTGTCACAGAAACTCTTAACTCGCTTTAACAACTCCTGTGCCAAGTCTGAAGCACCTGCCCATCTGTTTTCCAGAGCTAGACTGCACTAAGTAGTCCAGGGATCTCCAACTCCGGTCCTCGTGAGCGGAGTTGGAGATCCCATGGCGTCATTTTAAGAAGTCAGCCACAGCAGCTCTGATTAGTGGTGCTTTAACTTGTTCTATACCTTCTGGTTGCTGCTCCAACTTCAGCTTATTTGTAGTTGGTCGTCAATTTTCCGTTTCATTATTGAATTGATAGATTTTATTTTTTTTTCCATTTCCTTTGGCAATTCTTGTCCATGTGGAGCCATGATGCAGGTCCAACACTAATAAAGTTCTGCTGGTCACAGATCATTTAGGGGTTTCTAACTTGTATGTAGTTTTTCTAAAGTATTTGTTTTTTATGGCTCATAAAAGGACACATTATATGTCAACGTAGAACTATAGCAGTCATTGAGAGGTGATTAAAATTTAAATTATTTGACATTTAAACTGATTTTGCACAGGGAATTACTCCCTTCTGTTCTATACTGTAGTATTGTAGCTTGTCTAAAAGGAACCAACTAGAGCTGCTCAATGTACTGCTGAATGAATGAATGGATCTAACGTTTTGCATATAAAATCCTCTTCTGCCTAAGTTACTTTGCAGCTGTAAAAAGTACCATTTTTCCACTCTGGAATGTGCTGCAAAATAAGTAGAAAGTGGTGTGAAATGAAATTACCTGAGTACAAGTGCAGAACTTCAGTAAATGTTTGCAGTCCACCACTCTAAACTCTAGAATTATCAGTCAAAATCTGAATGTTGTTGTGGTTGTATGTTTGCCTGAAGGACTACAAGCTTCTTAATCCCCCCTTTTCCCCCTTTAGGATTCAGATTTTGACTCAACAGGTGGACTGCTCGGCGCCACCATCGGCAGAGTCAAGCAGCTGTCCAGAGGCAGTCAGACCAAACTCTTGTGCTACATGCTGCTCTTCTGCTTTTTTGTCTTCTTTATCCTGTACTGGTTCATCAAGCTGAGGTGATAAGAGGACTCTGTTGGACTTGGCCCATTAGCTCCACATCTTTCCAGTCTGTGCCACGCTGATATGTCTCTAAGCTAAATCAACAGAACAGTGATGATGATAAAAGGCAGGGTTCTTTTTTTTTTTTGGTTTATAATATCTCAGCTTTTTATGTGCCCTGATGTCTGAGCATTTCATACAGTGACCACAGTTTGAGTTGTGAAATCACTCCTATGCGATTTGATGGAGTCTCAGAAATCTAGACTGGGTTAGAAAAGTGGATAAGGAGATGATTAATGATCCCGGGAAGTGTTGCGAAGTAAACTGTACGTACACCAAAAGCAGGCAATGCCAGATTATCTTTGTACTTTTGTATGTACTTGATAACTGGCCAGTTTGTAACAATATAAGCATCTAACACTTCCAGAAAAAACTGTGTCAAAAACTTTGATTCAGCAACAAATGTGTGGAATAGTTGATCATATGGCACGAGGTGTCTTAAAGGTGATTAAGCTATAGAGCGACAACTTAAACAGTTCAGTGTGTTTGCTTTCAAGAATGAATGGATCTGTTGCATCATTTGACAACCATACACACAATGGTAATGCACCTCATTGTTTAGATTTTGTTGTAAAAATGTTGGAAATGTAAATAAACATATTTTATGCTTTGAATTGGCAAGTGTAGGTGAGTGCTTCTTGATAGGATGTGCTGAAAAGATTGTCAATGGTTTTGTAAATTTATCATTGACACACACAAAAGTGAGAATCTGCTGGATATTTATTTTACACAACAAACATTTTTTTTTTTACATTGTTTTTGATTTATTCTGAAAAAATATGTAAAATATTTAAAGGATGACTGCTATTTAAATGAACCCACCAAGTTACATTACACCTAAAGTGCAACCATTAGTCATATTTAGTCTATAAAGGCAGGAAACGGGAAAAAAAAACAATCAAAAGGTGCAAATGCAAAATATCCTGCTTTGCTAAAAAGGACAAAACATTTAGGCATAAGTGTGATGCTGTTAAGAGCCTGGGGTTGCCATTGATGACACCACATTCGCTAGAGGTGAGTGGGACCTTTACAAAACTGATCGCTGGGGTCCGACTTGATCTGACTTAACGATGACGGAGCAACGGTAACGCTGTGAGATCAACGCAGCCGCAGATGCTCTCCAGCGACGGCACAGCCTCTTCACTTTAGTAGAATTAAGAGATTTAGAATTTTTAAAATCAGATTTCAAAGGTTTTTCCTGTTAACACAAAAAGTAGTCAATTTATGTAGTTTGAGAAGGACAGGTCCTTATCAGCTGATTTACATACAAACTCATGAGATGCTGAGAATTCATGTAAAGTGGAGGCTGCGTAGTATTTTAATAGATTACCCTATCGTAATTAAATCTACCAGCGACTAAGCACAAACTGATATGTTTGTCTCATAACACTGGAATAAATCAGACTAAAGGTCACTGTCTGTCCAAAGTGGTAATTGTCACCACTGCTCCCTGCTGCCTCCTGCTCTCATCCATTTTCCAGGCGAGGCACACTTCAATCCCAAACAAGCGTATTACTTCCTGGGAAGTGTGTCCATGTACTTGCAGATGATCCCCAGCATGACCTCATCGGCACCTCCACCGATTGAAATTAACCTGAGATCCCTGCAGAGAAGACACATTTTAAGCTGCTTTGTTTCTGTCACAGTCACAAAATGTGCATGCTGCGTCTAATTACTGTAATGGTCTGTCACTGTAATACAGCTGCATTATTTGCCCCATCACTAGATGTCAGCACAGTGTAAAATAAAAACTCAGTGAATCTGAAGCCAACTGAGGCTGAGCCTGAGTACACGTTTTTAAGAATTCTTATTATTAAACCGAAGCCGATAATCAGTCTAATCATAACGCTGTTGTGAAGAAATCAGGTAAAACACATAAACACAGGATTATTAAACTCCTGCAGCTGGTGGGGTTGCTGCTACTGTAGAAACATTACGCTGCCACAAATGTGCGCATTTGGCAGCCAAATATAATAATAGTTGGAGTTGATAGTACTGCTATGTGAAGGGTTTGTGGTCAGATGTTGCTTTCTTGTTTTTTGGGGCGGGATGAGATGGAGTGCGCTGGGGCAAAACTGAAAATCATGGAGGTATAAGCCATAAATTAGATGCTGTATGCTTCATAGTTTAGTTACACACATAAACACAGGTAGCACAAAACACACAGCACTTTATTTATTTACTAACAGGTAACTTATGGCTGTCTGGTTCAGGTCACATTTTTAAATTGTGTCTATCTTTACCCTTAAGATATTCAGATATTTCAATGAGGCAAACAGAAAAGGTCATCTTAAAACTGCTCAACAAATAAACTGCTTCCTACCTCTTTGGCTATTTCAGTCTTACCTGTAAAATCTGCTGATCAGCACGTCATTAGTGAAGCCCATCCCTCCCCAGTACTGGAGACAGCTGTCGCTCAGTTCTCTGGCCAGGCGGCCTGCCTTCAGTTTGGCCATTGATGCCAGTTTGGTGACATCGTTGCCTTTAATGTACAATGCTGGAGGGGAAAAAAAAGAACGACAAGTAGAGACACAATTAATGAAGAGTGTCAAAAATGTTCAGCTGGACAGAATGTAAAGAGGAAAACAGAGACAATAAACAGATGTGTGTCAGTTTCAGTCACCGGCGGCTGGCTATGATTCAGGGTTTTCCCCCTTCAAGCCTTTTCCCAGAGCTACTGATCAATGCCTCTATTGTAGGTACCCTCTAGAGGAACCTGTGTGAGCCACATGATTTTTCCTGTTTCGGTGTGTGAAGAAGTTTGTTTGTGTGGCTGCGTGTGTGCTCATCTACCTGTGCCAAACAGATGCAAAAGCTTTGATTTCTGGGCAAGCAAATTGGACTTGGAGCTGTTACCAGCAAGATGGATTCATTCAAAGCTGCTAGCTACTGAAGTGGTTATAAAGGGAACAAGAGAATCACAAGACCTTGGACACCTGCCTGACAGATGCATCCACGTATTCATGTCGTAAACAGCGCGGTATACAGCCCTTGAATGTGTATTTTGGAAGAGCTGGCCATGCGCCATTTTTCAAAAATATTAATACCAAGCCATCACATTGGCCTCCATTCAGCTCCATGCCCTCCGTCTTTTAAGCCAACCTACAAATTAGGCACTCAAGGCTAGTTTGGCATTCACATCATTCTTGCAGAGCTGAGTCAACGGCGACCTTGATTATTGAGGTCTCCAGTCTTATCTTTGATATTAAGCACCATGACGACAGCTGAATGCAATGGTTTTCCTAAAATAACGCAGAAGCAGATCTAACCATGGATCCAAACTTAGATTCTGAGTCAGACATGACTTACTGACATAAAGGAAAGCACATAAATCTAGAAGAGCAAATGCAGCAAAGTGAGGATGCCACTGATAGTTTTTATAAAGTAACTTCGTACAAAGAGCAAATCAACATTTGGTTTGATCAAATGTTCGATCATTTGCTTGAAGTTGCTCCAAGCACATTGGAAACTTGCCACAGTTCTGGGAATTTATTCTGTCACCTCATGTAACTCCAGGCTGCCTCCATGCCATCGACATCAGGATTCTGTGAGGGCAACGTCACCAGTTGCAGAACAGGCTGAAGATAGGTCTTTATGACTCTAGCTACATGTTTGGAGGTATATTCTAACCCTATAAAATAAATCTGGGATAAATCATATGCCTCCCTGACAGCTTTGAGGAATCTAAACATCTTAAGTACCTTTGCACAGCAGTTAATGTTTCTAAAATGCTAAAGCCTGTTAGCATAGTGGTGGTAGCTCAATATTTTCCCATCGGTAAACTAAACAGCTGTTTTATTCTTAAATGTATTAACTCTGTGTGTCTCACTGCTCTGAACCAGACTCATTCAGATGCAGGACACTCTACCAAGTCGACATTAATCTTTGGTTTTTGTTATATTGCCTCTCTGTCAAGCGACCCTACCTGTGGCGTGGTAGAGGAGGGAGCGCAGCAGCTCGACCTCGGTCTGCAGCTCAGCCAACCTGAAGTGAACTGCCTGGTGGTAAAGGACGGGTTGTGTGAAGATCTTCCTCTGCCGTGTGTACTGGATGGTTTCCTGAATGATGATGTCCAATGTGGTCAAAACTGCGGGTGGTACAATGGAGACACAGAGGTCACGCAGGGTCGTTTGTATCACTCTCGCTGAATGTCAAGCCCACTGATGTGCAGCATCACATCTGAATCTACTCGTGCTGCAACAACTCTGGTCTGGATTGTGAAGGGTGTCATCGTGTGGGCAAGACAGACTGATATAGGAGCGTCAGATTCAGGAAAAGCGTGTAGTTTCACATCATGTCTTAATAGTTTCCCGCCAATGTTCTGTCCAAGAAAACACTGACTCACGCTTCTTACTCAAAATCAAATGTAAACAGCTACTTTACAGAAGATTAAACGCTTGAACTACGTGACCTGAACTCCCTTTATTTGGAAACTGAAACAGCCACAATAATATTAAAACTATGTAGCTGAAACAGCGTGGACAAACAGTGATTAGGAAGCAAAGAAAACAAATCGCAGACGATATCTGATGACTGGATATTCGCTGAGGCAAAGGGAGAGATTTACGAAGCAAGGGTCACTCACCATTAGCCACTGCCCACAGCCGCTCTTCCTGGAACTGAAGCATCTGATAGGTGAAGCCCATGCCTTCCTGGCCAATGATGTTCTTACAGGGAACACGGACGTCATCGAAAAACACTTGAGCGGTGTCCGATGACTTCATGCCTATTTTATCAATGGTGCGGGCGATGTGTACTCCTGCAGTGGGAAAGACGGGAAACAGAAAAACCTGAAAACATGCAGAATTGAAATTCGGAGAACGCTGTACGTGAATCGCTAATTAAATACATTTACTATAATAAATAACCATGTGCATCTACAACAAACTGACTGATCCTACCTGGCAGGTTCATTGGCAGACAGATGAGGGACTTGTTCCTGTGTGGAGGCCCGTCACTGGTGTTGGCGAGGAGACACATCCAATCAGCCTGGGCGCCGTTGGTAGTCCACATCTTCCCGCCATTTATCACATACTCATCCCCCTTCCTCACAGCCTTGGTCTTGATACCTTAATCAGCGTGTGCAGAAAATTGCAGAGGTAAGAGCGAGGACAGAGGCTAAAAATAAAAAAACACAAAGTGATCCAGAAAAACGAGGCAAAAATGGTGACATCTGATGACAGCTGATATATAGCCTCATTCTGAAAGTGACGTACTCTAAAAGAGAAAACTACAAAATAGAAAATGATTGGAAGATAGCGAAGACGTACTTGAGACGTCAGAGCCAGCTCCAACTTCACTAACTCCAAGGCAGGCCACCTTGTCGCCTGAGATGGAGGGAAGGAGGAACTCTTTCTTGAGCTCCTCTGAGCCAAATCTGCAAAAACACAACAGCAAAGCACACAATGTGTAACAATATTACTTTGTCCCTTAAGGATCACCCTAATATCAAGAACATGCCCCTCATATTATCTACATCTAATGTGATCTCATGATAAGCAGACAGCTGCTTCATAAAAGTTGTGTCAAACTCTTAAACTGTGTACCTGTGGCAAAACAAATCGGTAGATCGTGAGCTTTAAAACAACACTGCCACGTTTAAGGCAATGACAGTTCCAGTGGGACAGAGGAGGGAGCTCCCACGGTACCACTCCCCCTTTTCTGCAGCTCTTTCAGTACTTAAGCCTTGTTGCAGGCGAATGTAGATCGCCTAATTAAGCTCCTGAGAGTCCAACTGTCTATTGAATTCTGTCTCGTGTCACAAGCAGCTGTTTCATTGCAGGAGGATAGCACACAACAAGCCAAGGCCCCACACGGGTGAGACACACGATTACCAAATATATGAATTCACATATGCTCTGGGGTTTTTAACTTTGATCAATGACTATACAACACGCTGTATTTTCAAGTATAAATATAACAAAACTACAGAGATACATGTTACAGTTACAGATGATAGAGGAGCTCACAGAAAGTTTTACTGTGAACACTTGGGTCCAAAGCAAGTACTTAGTTGTAAAGCCAAGCTTTCAGTTTGCAGGCAGTCCAACTACAAGATGAGACAGCTTGGCTTCATGATCACGTGTACGTATGGGAATTAAATGCACAGTAGGACAGCCTGGCTTCTTAACATCAGATGTTCCTCTCAGATCTCAGCATTATGTGTGGTAAAGCATACATTCACTGAAAGATTGTCCTTAAAAACTCCCACTAGTGAGAAAATGATTAATATTATCCTCAGTTTGTATACAAGTGCATACCTGTGTAAAATGTGTATTAATACTCTGTTGGTAGTCACATCCCAGCTGAGCAGATGGTGCTGCAGAGTCTCTTAAACAGTTCAATGATTCACTGTAAAATCCGCTGCATTTATTACAAGTCCATATTTCCATAGTGACATTTCAGGGAGCCTCCTCAAAATTGTTAACTGTGAGTAGCATTGGCCAGTGCAAACAGTAAATGTGTCGTTTTAGTTCGTCTGTTCATTGTCACATTACTCGCAAGCCTCATAACGACTTACTGTATGTTGCACAGTGCAGCTTAATTACAACCACTGATGGACCACAGGGTTTGTGATTTTCACATTTGTTGCACTGATGCAAGTTTTTCATTTAGGTGGAATTTAGATGCTCTCAAAACTTTTCACAGTCCATATTCATGCTGAAAAATACATTTGGAGCATTACATTTTTGTCAGTTCCTATACACATCTGTAACTGTGTAGCACATCACAATGTTAACAGGAATAAAGGTGCAGATAAATATTTAGTACATTTAACCTATTCTTTTTCTTTAGCACTTATTTGTGGTGGGGGAGTGGCATGGCGTGACTAATTTGCATGTAGAGAGTCATGCAGTTTAGAGAAAGTGTAACTCTGGTTTTTTTCTGAAGCTACGAAAGCAGATGTCCACTAAATGCCTCACAAGCACTGCATACATAGATGCGACAATACAGCTGTGCAGAGAAGTCTATAGTCTCCTCTCAGTTACTGCAGCATATCATCTCAGACAGATGTGTATCCAAAAAATTGGCAGTTTGTCAAGAATAAAATCAGGTTATGTAATGTTAGATTTATGTCAGTTACATGTACCTCAGCGGATCGCCCAGACACACACACAGATACACCAAAATGGTCGCAGTTTGGAGCTCAGGAGCAATTAAAAGACACTAAAACAAACACTACTTCAGAAAAGATGGGTGATAAAATGGGATAGACATCCTAGAGAGACCATATCTAATGACGAACAAAATGTCTGAACTAAAGACAGTTGGACACACAGTTGCTTTTAAAACTCGTAAATCAAATGTCGCAGTAACAGTCAACACGCTAATCAGGGCGACAGCTGTTGCATCTGAAAACAAAACACATAAATGTAAAAAGAGTGCTTGAAAATGTACTCTGGCTCTGACACAAGTGCCTCTCGTCGTGGTGCAAAAAGGAACAAAAAAACAGAGCAGCATTGTTGCTTGAGTGTGTGCTTTCAATTAGAAGAAGCTACACTGGAGAGGTACACAGGCAAGATGAGCATTTACATAAAAGACATGGCACCGTCCCAAATTGTTCAGTGGCATGACTTTAAAGCAATACTTGTATTCAGAATATGAGGTAATAGGTTTCTAGGACTGCACCTGGCTAGTGCGGGAGTAGTCATGTCAGTCTGTACGCCGATGGCCATGGGGATGCCTCCACAGCGGATGTTGCCCAACTCCTCTGCCACGGCTATACTGTAGCTGTAGTCGAGTCCCAGGCCTCCATACTCTGCACAAGACAAAACACAGACTCCTTGAGGCAGTTCTGACAGTTAAAGCTGACAGTTCACTGTGCGTTGTGTGGATTCTTGTGTATTACTATTGTGTACTTTTTGTTTGTCCTTACTTGTGCAAATGTTGAAAACGCATGTGTAGCTTTACAACTGAGTTCAAAGGCAAAGAAGGAACGGCTTACCGGCGCTAGTCACTTTGAATAAATACACCCCATCACTGCATTAGTCACCTTAAAGTAGCCCTGCAAGCACCTTCCTTGTCTCACTTACAGTTTTCCTGCAATCTTTGTGATAAAATCATCACCTAGCGCACACACACGCACACACATAATGCAGACTGGTATACATACATAATATTCTGAACTGATCCGTTGGCACCGGAGCATGCACTCAAATTAATTATAGGACGTTATCATTAACTGCGCTATCTGTAATTATGTGTAAAAAGCACTGCTGGGAGATCAGCAGCACACTGTAGATAAGGGTCACTGTCATCTCAGTGTCATCTCATCTGTTCTACTTAGTATATCAAACCTTGATCTCTTCAGCAACCCATTTGCTGAAAAAGTCAAAAAAATGGATGTCTATTTCCACTATTCTGGCAGTGGAGACATTTGCAAAGACCTTAGGTCCTTAATGGAGCTGAATAGCGCATTGTAAACTATGTTTAAAACACCACTTTCTGTCAGTCATCCTCATAAAGACCCACCTCTTTACCTTTCCTTTCTTTTTGCCTTTCATCATCAGTCGCAGTACCCATTGTGAAGTGAGTAGCCTGGTTTTTATACCAACACACTTACTGCTAAAGGCCAATTTTCTATCTGCTACTCATGGAATTAGCAAGAAAATGTGGGCGCTTTTATGCTGCATTTCTCTCAAGTTGGTTTGGTAAACAGACACACATCTAAAGTCTTTCAAAACAAAACAATATGAAGATGAACAGTCGTTCTGCAGCACACAAAAAAAAACTGATCGTCTCATGCAAGTCGAGCAAATGCAACCTGACAGTTATTCATTTAGGACAAACACCTTGATGATAATGTGCAGGCATTCAAAAGTGCCAAGACTGAGCATTTGAGAACGTTTAGTGCTCAGTTTTCCCACGACTAAATAAAACATGTCAGCCACTAAATGATGAATACTAGCGCTGACTGACAATGAATAATTATGAGTGAATTTACCATGCAAAGGCCTGCAACTCTAGCAAAGTAGTTTAATATCACCTGTCAGACTAGTTATCATGTAAATGGAAAGCACAGTCTGGCAGACTGTCAAAGACAGACAGGGAACAAAAGAAAGTGTGCAATATAAAATGGGACACAGAAAGAGGGAGGAATAGTGGGACAGGCAAACAAGGGAGTGGGGAGCCAAAAAATAAAAAATAAAAAAGAGGAAACAGGTGCAGCTGTGCGGTGATAAGTCTCTGAGCGCTGGAAACCCCGCGGCGGATAATGTGAACGAAGGGAAGCACCAAGGTTTATCCCATTTTAAACAAAACAGCAGGCTGCCTGGTTGAACAAGCAAGCAGACGAAATATAAACAGAATTCTGTCACAAATGTCAGGCCTATACACATATGTTTCTTCAGAGCAGCAGATGTTCCTCACCATAGGTCCTCATCAGGTGGAGCTCCATATGAAGCACAATCGAAGGAGAATTTAAAGGTGCAGGACAAGCAGAGAGCAGCAATGATGATGGGAGGAAAATACTGCAGTTTTCTATTACAGTCTCTTCTCTTTTTATTCTCAATGTGCAAACCAATATGGAACCTGATGAGAAAACAGATGAGTTTTCTTTTGCTGAAGGGTGGCAAACTTTTCTGATTCGTTCAAGTTTGCTTCATTTTGTTCATGTTTTTCCGAATCATCTTCAAGGCATACATTTTTTTTGGGGGGTAAACAAAGACACAGCAATGAAAAAAATAATAAAAGGGTCTTTGGAGTGCTTTGTAATCGTATTCAAATAAGAGGCTGAAATATCTCATTTCCATATGTATTCAGACCCTGTGTTACAACACTCGCTCGCGATTGAGCCCTAGTTAATGATACTTCCATCAATGGTCCTTGAGCTCTTTCTGCTGCTTGGCTGGAGTCCAACTGTGTCTCCTTAGACTCACTAGACATAATTAGGAAAGGCACACATCAGTCTATATAAGGGCTCACAGTTGGTGATGTATGTCAGAGTGAAAGTCAAAAGCTTGAGAGAACTGTCTGCGGACCAGCAAGACATAATGGGGTCAAGGTGTAGATGTGGGGAAGAATATATAATATATAATATATAATAACATTTCTGTACCATTTCAAGTGCAGAATAGCACTGTGGCCTCCATCATTCTCAATTGGCAACAGTTTGGAACCACCATCCTGCTGTGGGGATGTTTTTCTGCAACAAGGACTGGGAGACTCTTCTGGATAGAGGGAAAGATGCAAACCCTAGTAAAACCCTGTCCCAGAGAGCTCAGGATCTCAGATTGGAGTGAAGGTCACATTTCAACTTGAAGCACAGCACCAAGACAGCACAGGAGCTGCTTTGGGAAAACTCTATGAAAGTTCCAAAAGAGCAATTCTGCAGAGACCTGAAAATGGCTGTGCACCAACGATCACCATTGATCGTGGTTGAGCTTCAACAATTCTGTCGGAAAAAAAAAGGAGGAACTTTGAAAGAAATGTTTTAAGCTTGCAGACCACTCCCAAGAAGACAAGAGGTTGTGGTCTGAATGATACATTTGTACACTAAATATTATCCATCCATCCATCCATTATCTATACACCGCTTAATCCTCACTAGGGTTGCGGGAGGACTGGAGCCTATCCCAGTCGACTTAGGGTGAAGGCAGGGGAGACCCTGGACAGGTCGCCAGTCTATCACAGGGCTACACTTAGAGACAGACAACCAAGCACACTCACATTCACACCTACGGACAATTTAGAATCACCAATTAACCTCAACATGTTTTTGGACGGGCTGCAGGGTGGCGCAGTCGGTAGCACTGTTGCCTCGCAGCAAGAGGGGCACCGGAATCTTTCTGCGTGGAGTTTGCATGTTCTCCCCGTGCAGCGTGGGTTCTCTCCAGGTTCTCCGGCTTCCTCCCACACAGTCCAAATACATGTTGAGGTTAATTGGTGATTCTAAATTGTCCATAGGTGTGAATGTGAGTGTGCTTGGTTGTCTGTCTCTAAGTGTAGCCCTGTGATAGACTGACCTGTCCAGGGTGTCCCCTGCCTTCACCCTAAGTCGGCTGGGATAGGCTCCAGCCCCCCCGCGACCCTAGTGAGGATTAAGCGGTGTATAGATAGTGGATGGATGTTTTTGGACCTTGTGGGAAGAAGCCGGAGAACCCAGAGAGAACCCACGCTGCACGGTGAGAACATGCAAACTCCACGCAGAAAGATCCCGGGTGTCCTCACCGGGACGCGAAACATGACAAGATTTGGAAATCTCAAAAGGGTCTGAAAACTTTCCGAATAATTATATTGTTTTCAGATTCATGAATGCATGTATCATCATAACACTGTGATGTCATAAAATCTGTGTTAGTAATGTTTCTGAACAGAAAAACTAGACTTTGAAAAGCATTTTGTAATACTGGAATTAAAACTGTGAGAATAGAAAAAGTCTGGACACGCAAGTCTTACACAGAATGTATGTAATTGTAAGAATTCATGTAAATGTAAGTAACAAAAACACCTAAAGGGAAAAATGTGCAGGCTGCCAGGTTCTGTCTGCCAGGCAGGACACAAGGCCGTTTGCACAGTGTGATCCACAGATACCTTTCTCGGTCAGAGCAGAGGAAACCAGGCAGGGAGCCAAGGGTCATCCCTGCCTTCTCCCTCAACGTGACTGCCTTGGAAAAACTTCCTGTTCTCATGTTTTGAGAAGTAATACTGCCTTTCCTTGTGTATGGAAAAAAGAGTGGAAAATAAGTGTTGAGTTTTTGTCTCTGGACTTACTGAACAGCTCAAAAGGCTGTAAACAGACACATTAAAGTTGATGCAGTTTCAAACATTGGGCAATTCAAAAGCTCAAGAAGTGCTTAGTTCACAGGATTCTGTTTTACTGTTTTCACAGATAAAGTCATCATTGCACCCAAAGGAGCTCCGAGTGATTACAGTAAATGCCTAGCAACAGACCTAAATCGTCTTCCTACGTTCCTATTTCAGGCTCACTGTTAGATTTACTCGGTGTATGTTAAACACGCGAAATGGGCTGATTAGATCTTCAAAGCTACGATTTAAATGTCAACAGTGCCATGATCAGGGAAAAACACAAACTACAGAAAATGACACCACAACAAACCCCCAAGATGCTGTAGTTACAAGTCATTTGGCCTTTTTGTGAGCATTTGAAATGTATTTCTTTCATGAACATTCTAATTTACAATTTCATTTAGCAGACGCTTTTCACCAAAGCGACGTACATCTGAGAGTAGATCACATTCATACACCAATGGCCACAGAGCTGCCATGCAAGGTGCTGCCTGCCATTGGGAGCAACTTCAGGTTCAGTGTCAGTCAAGGACACTGTGGAGGGGCGGGGATCGAACCACCAACCTCGGGATTAGAGGACAACCCACTCTACCAGCTACAAATTTTATTTATTATTAATTACTATAGCATGACATAAGTGTCACTTGTTCTGAAAGCAGCACTTCATTCTGGAGAATTCCTGAAACTGAAATTAATATATTCATACAATTAATAATGTAATTATATTATCAGTGTGGATACGTTAAAAATTCTCAGGACAAGTTTTACTTCTACAACAAAGATATGCTTTTAATTGCTTTTGTATTGCATTTGGTTGAAGTTGTTTTCTGACCAAAGACAAGCACTTCTCCCACTCCCATCTGATAATGCATTTCTCCATTAAAACAGACTCCTAAATCCCTGCTCTCATTCCTGTAATCCAAGCCTCTGAATCAATTAACCCAGTGTGGAATTCTTTCGAGAGTCTGCTTCATTAGTCGTCACTGCAGCAAAAGAAAACATTGTGTAGTTTCTCCAACTGCCCATGTTTTTTTTTTTAAACTTATAATGCCATGGCAACATCAGTCCTTCCTATTATCATTAAACCTAAAGCCTGACTTCACACTAGGTGTAACGAGCATCGTCTTTTATGCTTAAATAAGCACATGCGGTGCAGTGTTTATGCATTAACTCTTGTAAATGTAAAAGCTTAATGTGAAAAATGTTTCATATGGGGCTTTCAGATTTTATGCAGAGTTTATAAAACTATATACCATAATGCAAGTTCACAATGCCAGTTTAAATTACAGATTTTAACATGTCTAGGCAGCTAATAGTCTATCCAACTTTGTTTTTTTTGACTTACGAGCATAATTGAGCATCCATGGTCTTTTGTTTAAATGTTATCTCTTAATCATGTGTTGTGCTGTGCATGATAGTGGGTAATCTACCAGCTGATCATACAGTGTGTCTTCACTCAGTCCTCCACTGGGCCGATCCTCCTCTCTAATCTTGTCAACTAATGCTTAATGCTTGTGTACTCAGCACATTTTAATTCCCTCGCCCTCCCTCTTCTCTGACCTACAGACTTGTGGTGGAATCGTTTCTACAGGACTCACTGGCCGACACATTACTCACGTATTTGTTCTTTTCAGCATCAAATGTCACAACATGAACTGCAGCTGTTTTCACCAAAGACAAAGATGAGCAGCGGGAAATTAATTAAGAAAGCTAATCTATTAGAACGGGAATATAGAGTGGAACATTATACTGTGATTGTCAAACACTTCCCCACAGATTTCTTCACATATTCAGAATGGATTACACATCACAACCGCAAATATTTTGTGGTCCTGTACTGTACTTATCCCACTCCCTCCTCTGTCTGAGCAATAACCCAGCTGGATACGCATCTGGAAATGGGATATAGACTGTAGCAGACAGCTGTGGTAGGGATGGTGCTGTGACACCAACACCCATCATCACAGTGGGAGCATTTGTAAACCAGACCGACTCTAATGTAAGGCTGTCAAAAAGAGAGTAAACAAATGGAACAATAATTCAGCTGAAAAAGATGTGCTAAATGTCTATTGAAGCAGAAATGGTCAGAATGGGCACACAGCGAGCAATTTGTCAGTTTATAGTGTGTTGTGGGATAAATTTTGATGTACCTATGCATAAATTTCAGGAAATGCTATCCTCCACCAAAATTATAATTCTGAGTTTGTCTGTTTTTCATGACAGCCTTCTTAGGTTAAAAAATGGTATCCTTTAAAGCAATATTTATGTTGTGCCAAGGGATTTTAGCCCTCAGATATGCTACAGATTTATCATGGGAGTTTTTGCAGTGGCAACAGAAACAGCACGTCCCAACAGCATACATCATGTAGACTGAGGCTTGGATGATTAATCAGGCTTCATGTTTGTATGGATTACCGACTGGAATTCACAGGAATACAAATGGACTTAAGTCTGCGCCAGGACATGCTCTCCTATACTTCCTCAGTCGCTCTCATATAATTAATGCATATTCTGCAAAGACAGGTCAAAGATCTGAAGCCTTGAACTTTTTTCAGAGTCCTTAACGTGCCATTTAAGGTATCTGGGTTAAAAGAAATACCAGAGGAAAAAGGAAAAGCATGTCGGTTTTCAGCGGTTTGCTCACAGACATGTCTAAACAAGAATGTCTAGACATGTCACTCAATTGCACGTGTAGTCCTTTGTTAAAATTAAAGTTGTCTGTAAGACACCGCCATCTAAAAGCCTTTTGTTTCCAACAGCAACAAAGGTGCACTATGTTTGGCACCTTTACATCATGGTTATTAGCATGTTCCCATAAGCTTGTTATCTCTTAGATCTTTTTACAGAAAACAAGCCTCCTCCAAAGTAAAAGCTTCTTGGTCTTTAAATCAAGCAAAACGTTTGTTTATCTTTCTCTTCCAGATAATGCATTAAACCCACGAGACTCATCATTTTGCATCTGATTTTAGATATAAAAACAGAAATGCAAATTTTCTCTGGAGTCACAGGTGTTGGAAGATCTAACAGAGACACAGGTTGCCAAACAAACACACCAGCTTTCATTTCTTATGTGCAGTTTAATGCCAAACTCCAAAAAATAGGACTGAGGATTTGCAAACATATTGCAGATTGTCGTTAGGAGCGGTTAACTGTGTTAAACTGTGTTTAAGAAAGTGAGTGTTGGTTTTTAGATAAGATAATACTTACCAGCTGGTCTGTTGACTCCTAGAAAGCCGGCGCTTCCTAAGATCTTGAAGACTTTGTGGGCTGGAAACTTCCCTTCTGCTTCCCACTGATCCACATGAGGGTTGATCTCCTGGTCGATAAGCTACACCACAAACACAACAGGGAAGAGATGTGATGTGTTTATGTGCATACCTTTCATTTACAGTGTGCCATAAAACTTGATCACTTTGGCTTGTGAATTTCAAGCTTTATTATTTATAAGTTTCAATGTTCAATGAACAGGCATCGATTTCTTTGCTTTTTTATCTTAATGTGATCTGAACAACAAATGACAGTCGAGCGATTCTATCTCGTTTCCCAACATCAAAACAAACAATCCATTTTGAGTGAAAAAACAGAGAATGATTTTTCTACATACATGGGCTACCTGGTGTGGAATATGCATCTACACTAAAGTCAACGTAATCTATCTAAAGCAGAGGGAGGCACGAGGTAATACCTATCAATGAATAGAAAGCAGAAAGAAATTACACGTTGAGTCTATAATCTTAATACATGATGAATACAGTGACAGTAGGCATGGCATGCTGTTGTCTACATGTATCAGTGGATATGGGATTTTGAGGCCTTGTTTTGTACTGATGCTGCTGAAAGCATCCACTGTGTTGATATTCATTATCTTTGCATTCAACCAGTTGCATGCCAATATTTTAATGACTCAGTGTTCCCCCCCTCCAATCATTGTGGTCTTGGCAGGGTACAAAAAACCTCTAAAGTAAAATTCAGATCAGCATGCAAAACTAAAGCTAAGTACTGAAACCCACACTAATGACATTCCTTCTGGGTTAGCAGCCACTCCATCTATTCAGCCACAAAGCCTGAGATAGAGCTGCCTAAAAATGAAGGATGACTATATTATAGGCTTTTAGAGTGGAACACACACAAAAAAAAAAGTGTGCCGCTGTGAAACGACTTCTCTTATATAAGAGGTAAATGGTGTTAACTGGCTGATGTCTGATTTTAATAATAGCTTAATATTACAGTCAACTTTCATGCAAATTTGTATCAGAACTAAAAGATTTATATGGGAGGGATGAATGTACTGAGGTTATCTTGCCACCAAATTTTATATAATATTCTCCAACAGTGAGAGCTGCTTTTGTGTTGTCTCTCAAATCTAAATTAAAGCAGTCGTGCGCTCTATCGGTGTATGTCACTAGTGCCTGGATTTGTGAGTCATGAAAATGTCTGCAGTAAGTGTGTTGCAACCTGGTTTTTGAAGAGACTTTGGAATGAGTGAACCTTGGTGCCGTGACTCATTTCGAGCACCTGGAAGTGGTCCGCAGCTGGAAAAGCACTTATGAATGACCAGTCTACTGAGATGCTCGTTCGGTGCTATTTTTGCCGCAGCTCAAGCTGCTTGACAAAGAATAGGCTGCAGCTCTGTAGTGTGGGTTACAGTTCGTGCGGTCATTTGCTGTCAAGTTTTTAAAAGATTCTGCTTTACACAGTGGGCTTTGTCAACACGAGCTGCTGCAAAGTAACATTGGTATTAATGCTTCCATGCAAGAATATAAATACATAAAACTGAAACTGATGTGCTGTGACTTCCCTTGTATGTTTACTTGCCTTCCAACAAATGCATCTTCTCTTGCTATTAGTGGGATTCACAACATTTTTAATCGGCCGTAGTTCCTCCATACCCAGGACAATTTGCTCCTCGAATGTGTTTTTATGCTCAGTACAATACGCTCTAAATGGAGGGTAAAGCCAATGAAAAGTAATGATTAAAACAAATGAGGTATTTGGTGGAAATAGGAATCATCAAATTTAAGCCTCTGCCAATAAAAGATTTAACTGAGCCGCAGACAGAAATGTGAATTCGAAGAAAAAATAAACACCATTTGATTATTCTTTCATGCCGCTTTGATTCGATCTTTAAAACAAAGTCCTGAAAAAGTTTTTTTTTTTTCCAGGATTGCAAAAAGTGATGCACACTCATTTTTCTCCCGCCAAGGCACACAAAGTCAAACCAGTCAACCCTCCAATGAGCCAAAAAAAACATACTTGGTGAGAGACATCTGAACACAAGACAGAAAATGTGGCCGTTATCTTTACGCCGTCCAGAACAGTCACTACTTTCAACATATATATGAGGTAAATGCCTGAGGCTAAACCTGAAAAGATCAGGCTTACTTACAGAGCATTGGACACAAGAACAAGCACTAAAAAAAAAGCCGGACTGATCCCCTTCAACCTGACATAAACTCCTCCATGTTTAAAGTTCAAATCCTGTGGAGGGAAAGGGAGGGACGACTGGTTGCTGGAAAGGGAAACATAAACGCCATGAGGGAGCAATCCCACATTTCCTCACAAAGGTTATTGTGCTCTATTTGTGCTACATACCAGAAGGATTTCACATGACTGAGCTGTCATGTTGCAAGACAAGGTCGAAAACATTGCATTATCAAAAAATTTCAAAATATCCCATCTGGAGATGTTGGTGCCTTTACCTGGAAGGTATTCTGAAAGCTACATAAAGACTGGGCTTTTCTGTTCAACACAAATGAATGAGCTACAGTTGGTTCACCTTTCTGTCATGTATAATACATAATGGCTGGGAATGACGATGTGACTCAAGGTATGATAATATCAAGAGTCTGCCAGTTATTTTTGATTAATCTCAGTTAATTTACTAGATTATCAGCAGTGACGCATTTTTTCCCCCAAATTAATCATGTGAAGTTCAAAAATGTAAAGTTATGATGAAAAATAGCTAGGGCCCGACCGATTTATCGGCTGGCTGATTAAATCGGCTGATTATAGCCTTTTTCAAAATACTCGTAATCAGCCGGAGTTTTGCCGACTAATTGCAGATATATTCTTAATTTCTCATGAAACAGTAAATGCTGCCAAGTGTCACAGTCACTTACGCACTTTCATTTTGTACAATTTGATTTAGTAAAAAGACAAATACTCTCTATGGCAAAAGCGTGTAAAAAAACAACACTTGAGCAACACCACGATAAGCTCCGTTTTCGCTGTAGCTTGTTGTAAACAAGTCAAACTTGGCTCACTGAGATGATGAAGAGTTGAGCTCGCTGACGACCGATCAGCGGTGAGATCACTCACTGTGCCGCAAAGTCTGAAACCAAACCAGAGCACAGAGCCTCACTCTGACGGGTTTTCAGAGAACTACAGAAAACAACTTTTTAAACTTTTTATCCAACTTTTTCACAAACTTATTTAACTTACATTTTTCTGAACTGATTCTCATCAACTTCAAAGACAGCACAGTCTTTGAGAGTACAGAACATCAGTGTGCTGCATAAATAATGTTCTGCCAGTAACTTCACTCATTATGTTGCAGCAGACACCTACGGCCTAAACCTAAAGTCATCAGTACAACTGGTAGCTACATTCATGCATGCTCCATAGGAAGACAAATGCACAATGCAAATTTAAAATGAAATACCCCACCTTGCAGACACATTTGTTCTGAAAACTTTTCTTTTTTTTTTAACTGATGCATATTATGTTTTTGTACTTGAAATTCCTCTCTGTTGTAAAGTTAAACAAATACTAAAGGACAAAGTCTAAAACAGTAAAATGTTCTGCCTGTGATTCATATCTTTCTCGTTGTAAGCATTAAGGGACCAAACAAGAAGCTATTTTATTCACTATATTTTTTTTTAATTAATCGGCCGATTAATCGGTTATCGGAATTGTTTTTTTGCCAAATATCGGAATCGGCCTTAAAAAACTCCATATCGGTCAGGCCCTAAAATAAACCCCTTACAAATCTCCTAAGTGTACAAATGAATTCTATAAACAGCAACTTCTGACTAACAATGAAAGGAAAAGCCACTTTAAATGCTATAACCCTGAAACGAAAACAACAAATCTGCACAAGGAGCTACAGCAATCTCTCATCATTTTTGCTCAATATGTAAGACACTATCAAAACAGTGTGGGGTTAAGCATTTGTGAATCAGCTCTAAAATAAAGACACTTCAATTAAATGTTTCTTAGTTGAATACTAGATAATATTAAGACTATACAATAATCATGATATAAAGACAGCGTTGTATAACCTTAGGTCTTAAATATCGGGCACAAGAATTTATCCTATCTTATACAAGTACAGCTTTAGTCTTCAGGTCAGTTTATTGATAGTCTCATCACATCACATTTTTATTGGTCGGACAATCACCTCTTATACTTTCATCAGGAGAAAATCCCTACATCGACGGCCTTCCAGGATCAATCCAATATTTCTGGCAGCTGGAGAAACCAACCTAATGGAGACTGCTAGATCTACCTCATTCAGCATTTGCTTTAGTTGAATGTTTACTCAGAGTGGACTCCAAACTGACACCTCGTCAAAGAAGTGAGGTGTGGCTGCATTTGGTTGAAACAAATGGCCCTGGTTGTTATAAACTGTACAACAACCAGCATTGTAAATCAACTAAAAACAGGAACACTAACTTGTCTGGATCTAGATGGTCCCCCAACTTTAATGTGTAACATATCAGACCTTGCATATTTCAGTCAGTTTGTTGGAGTAATCATTTCACAGCACCAGACGAGTGCATTGGCAGCTTTTGATGGCTCCAGCGTCTGTTAGTAACGGCAGCTACATCCAGACCAAGCTGGACGTGAAGCCTCTTCTCTCATCAAAACAGGAAAGTATCACAATGGGAAATGTCTAATTATTTAATATGCTACTAATACTAGATTTTTAGGCTTATTTATAATATGTTTAGAGGCTAGCAGGTAGCGGTGCATCATGGTCAAGCTATTTCATCTACAGATTATTTGCTAATTATTCTCATGACCAAACGATTGGTGGAGGTGGAGTTTTAGTCAACCAAGCTTTTTTCTGGTTGATTACAGCCCAAGATGCAAAACTACAGTCAAAGGGCCGTTTCATTTTTCATCTTAACTGCCGTACTACCATGCAGACAATTTATGCAACGTAAGTTCTTGATAAACATCTAAGATACACTTTACAACATGCGTGTAAATTAACAAGAAGCAGCGCTCGTTTCTATATTAATAACTATCTTAAAACTTCATAGCCTGGATGAAACAGTGTGGACACAGTGTCTTAGCAATATCAATGCCAAAAAGCCTGAGCTATGAACGAAAATGTACACGTCTGCAATCAGAAAACGGCTGGAGCCAGACTACCAATTTACTATCATATATTATGATATTGATTATTTGCCTCAAACCCTACATTAGATGCAATGGCTGCATCTTCAGTAGGTGGAAGCCAACCCATTCTGAAAAGTCAATTATTTGTTTGGTAATCGAGACAGAAATATAAAAATGCTAGTGGCAGAACAATACAAAAGAATTACATCCTTCTGGCTGTCAGCGTTGTTCTCTAATATCGTACACATGTTCGCCTGTGATGGCTTTCTTGTGTTTTGTTGTGTTTTATCCAAGTCTGAAACCACGGGAAGCTGCATGAGTGTCCACTTCCTAAAGCTGTTAGGGAAGTCTTTTGTGTCTCTTCATTAATGACAGCAGCTGACCTTCTACGCACTCCAGCTTTGGCCGGTTTGACAATTTGTACATGTAGAAGTATCTCTGACTAATTTCTTGGCATGAGAAGTCTCATTTCGAACTATAAATGAGCACATGAATACAGTCCAACACGGGCCCACCCACTCGTAGAAAATTAGTAGTGGAAACACTGGCACTTTGAGAGTCTAACCTTGGGCAGTAACTAAAGGATTTCCTATAACCCCATTTGTATATCATCTATAAACACACACTATCCTACAGTGAATTCTTTTAATAAACCATTCTGGCTACAGTTCCCTTTCCTGCATTGCCAACTTATTGTTCTGCATTTCCTTTTCACATTTTCATCCTTCCCAAAATTCCCAGAGCTGGTTTATTTTCAACATCCTGGCATGCTTTGAAGGTTTAGTCAGACAACAAGCCTCCCTTCATTTACCGCAACAACTTTGCTTCCTGCCTTAAATTAGGCTCTCGTCGATACATTTGCAGCCTCTGTCTCCAATGTCTGTCTAGCAATATGTAATCAAAATGAGTCAGGCTGATTAGTAATGCTCGCTTTGATTTTATGCTACCAGAATTTGTAGCTGTTCATATTTAGATCTTCAAGAACAAAAGCATGTCGGGAAACACTAACTAGCAGAGAAATGGAGCAGCAGGCTGGGAAAAATGTTGAATATGTTGGGGAAAGGAAAATATATTGCTAATATTCCTCTGCAAGGAGTGGGACTTAAATAGCTAAATGAAGCATGTGAATGAATCTGAGTGGGCTGAAAGCTTTTAGATTTTTGTTGGTTTGCTATTATGTATAACCCTTATCTAAACTGTCTTGAAAATCTACTATTGCTAAAGCAAAGAGTATAAAAAACATCTACTTCTGCGTATGGGTGGAGAAATAACAGTTAATACGAATTAAACCATCCACTTTGCCTTTTCTGCCTTTTAAATAAACATAAAACAGTCAAATAAACTAACTACATTCAGATCATAAATACGCCAAATTATTTCAGGGGTTTATGACATTTTAGGGAAAACTGACTATTATCAGATACTCACAGTATGACCATTACAGCAGAAAATGGAAGTAATTGTTGGATTCTCCCAAATCACACAGACCCGCCAATTAGTTTTCCTACTGAATGTTTCTGAATGTGCCAACCTTAATGGCCACAGAAAGAATACCAGTTCTCTACTGTGCAAATTAAGATATTTCGCTTCTAGATGAGCGGGATGCATCACTTGATTCAGGGCCAATCTTTTGTTTGATACAAACAAAAATCGTGTCTGTTTAGGCTAAAGTACATCGGCTTGATAGACAGTTTCAGCTGAGTGCCAGTGCCCACTCAGTAGTCCAGCCACCGTCAACATTTATCTACTTTAGTCATACAATTAGCGTCAATTAACAGACCGACTGGTATCAGAAACTTTTCTTTGCACATGAATCAGGCTTCTTTATTTGTGATGCAAATGAAAAATAACTTCAATATGAACTTGAGTGTATGCTGAAGAATTATTCAAAGACATATTATGGTAAAACGTGTCACAATATACCATTATAAGCAGTGCTCGAGTTCAGGGGGGATGAGTGGGTGTAGTAGCGGGGTTACGATTTTAGCACCATGGCCAAGCGACAAGGACAGCTCGATCTGAGGGACTTTGGATTTAAGAGGAAAATAAATGACATTTTTGGTAAGTCAAAAGTCATGAAAATCAGTTATTACTTTCCATAAATCAACCATTCTGTCACCAAATGTGTAATCTCTGGATGTACTGATAACAACACAGCTAATGATGCTAGGTTGCTAACGATGCTAGCGGTTACTGGCTAACTCAGGTTTAGTTTTGCTTGTACCAGTCTGGGCTGAACAAGATGACGTTTGTCTGGGATTTTCCAGGCTATATAAACAAGCGAAGAATTCAACATTAACGTCATTTATCATAGTGAAAGGAGAAGTCAGATACTGTAGTCGCAAGAGTCAAATCAGAACATACAGGCGTTAATGAACATTATTAGTATGTGCTTAACTTTAAACAGTCTCTCAAAACCTTGTGCCTGCTTTGGGAGCAAATCTAAATTTATAATAATCTTCATTTGCCCAATGTGGTTTTCTTACAGATGTTGATGAAACAGAACCAGCAGTGCCAGAAGAGCTACAACCCTTCCTTCAAGCTGTGAACACACTGGTCATCTCCACAGCTGAGTGTGAGCGTGGCTTCAGTCACATGAACATTTTAACCACTACTAGAAGAAAACATGATGATGAAAATCTCTGGAAACTTCTGTGAATTAGGGGAGAATTGGGTCGGCAGCTATTGAAAAAAACTGATTAGTTATCCATTTGACTTTTCCTATTTTGTCTTTTGAGGCGAGCCACCTCAAGTTAAAAAAAATCTCAGGTGTTGGTGTATTTGTGTAAATTTTTTATATTAATTTTCAAATTTTGTAAATTGTTTCAACGAGTTCATTAATTTTTTTTGCATTTGAATTAAAATGAACCTGACGTGACTTGAGAGGATTCAGAGTTTCATTTGCAGTTTTTGTGAGGTTTTGTTTCACACTTCAGTAGATGAATTACCAAATGATCTCAAAGTACCATGAGTATGAAATTTCACTTGAACCCAGTAAGAAAAGTGGTCCTCTTACTGCGTAGGAGCAGTGATAGCCATGCCAGGCTGGGGACTAACTCCAATTCTGAGGTACCTTGGTCAAGATCAATCACAGGAGAATCTGACATACAACATCCATGCCATATATGTTGTTTTAGGATCGTAAAATAATTGTCTTTGAGCTTTAACAAAAACAAAAAGGGTACATAGTTTGTTTCACATCATATGCACTGTCATCAGGGCAAAATATCCATCCCAAAAAATAAAATCCACCATCCCCCATGAAATTTTACAACTCGACTACTGATTATAAGTGACGCATTGCAGTGCCACAAAGATGTCCTCGTCTACAAATCATATTCCAGTCACACTGATTGGTATAGACTGCAGCAAAAATGTACATTCCCACTATAATTATATCACAGTATCTGTCAAAATAACTGCAATATGACTTGTTTTCCATCCGTTTTGCCCTACTTTAGAGTCAGTGTAGGCATCTCAGCCAAGCTATCACTTATCATTGTCCTCAAAACAAACACTTGTACCCGTCATATCTCACTCAACCTCTAAAATATCTGTTAAATGTGCTTTTGCTGTTGTCCTAATTTCCGTCTACCTCAGAGGATCTCTGCAACCTTGATCACGACTTCTATCAACTTTTCAGACAAAACATGTTGTTTGCATCCAGAATAATTATTTGCATATTGGACCAGATGTTAAAACACAGAATTGGCACACACAGCCACTTCTTTAGACGAGCCTGGGGCAGGAGCAGAGATGTGGTTCGTGTTAGCCGGAGAGCAGCTGACATTAATAAAGTGGGACGTGGGAGTGTGGAGTGGGTCATGAAAACACACGCTGCAGCACTGTGAACCAGTCCAGCTGCACTTCTTTCAGCTAAAAAACAAGCAGGTTAGACTCATCTGCGGACACATTTTGTACGAGCAACGTGAAAATGTTCGACTTGACTGTGACCTCCTTGTTTTTTTTGGTAGAAGCAAATCAACAGAGTTCAGCGGAGGAGAAAGCTAGCACATGACCTCTCACCTACTTTACCTAACTGCCCCTGATTTGCTTCGAGGGGTGATATTGAGCTTAAACTAACGCTGCTGTGTTGTAAAAATAACCCGTGGCTTATAAAATATCCAGCTGTCACCGCTTAAACAAAGCCAAATCAGCCTTGTTTTCTTTGTTACCCCCAAAACTTCCCAGTCAAGTGTTAGCGTACCTTTTTGAGGGAATCCTTTAATGCAAAGTGCTCTTGTGTGTAGAGTACATGGTCGCCAGCGACCTCTGGGGAGCTGGACGTGACTGGTTTAGAAGACACATTTTCGGACAACGACCGGACACCGACAAAGGAGGTGAATTTGTAGAAACTGCGGCTGTTAGCTAGCAGGTTTACACGCAGAGCTCCTTCAAGCAGCGCCATCTCTGTTGACAGTGTTCTGAGCGCATGCGCATTCCGGTCCTCACTACAACCCAGTTTGTGATTCAGGCAGAGGGTCAAACATTAACCCACCAGGAAATAAGATGCTTGTAATTGTTTGTAATGTTTAAACTGTACGTAATTTGGGGAAACACCGCCAGATAAATGAACAGAAATAGATTTTTTTTTAAAAATCCTGCAGGATCAATAGATAAATGCAAGGGTGTTGCAAAGCAGGAAAGAAGTGGAACACATTTCCGCTTCATTGTTTCTCAATTTTCTTGGGAAACACTGTACATTTTATTGTTTGTTTGTCTGGATTACTTTAAATTAAAGAATCTGCACAAGGAAAATCCCTTCTGTGCAGTCCTTAAGTCTGCCATGTGGGTTGCAGCTGGACATAAGGAAAAAATTAGAGAACAATTCTATTATGTTTTACAGACAATGTTGTCCTTTTGATCTTCTTCTCTCTTTTTTGTTACCTCCCTGAAAGAAGCTACATGAAAAATACATCAAATAATCTAAAACTTCAAATAAAAGCGTGGACAACCTGCAAAAAACTGTTTTTTTTTTAAAGAATGTGCTATGGTTTGATATTTACCCAGATGTATGCTACAAACTGACAACGATCACATCAAGACTTATGACGAGAAGTTGATCTAACTCTAAACGTATGCAAATTGAGTTATGAAGATGTATCTGTTCTCTACCTATCTTGAAGCCTTCAGTGAATCACGGAGACAGGCTGAGTTATAAATGTGCACATTTAATGACAGTTGCTTCCGTGTATGAAACAACACATGGGCCCATTTGCTCAGACTATATACACCACATGAGAGAGGAGCATTAAATAAACCAGTGCCGAATACAACTCTTATTTATTGCGTCTTTCAGAGGAATAAAATTATAAGGCTACAAATCTGACCAGAAGATGGGGAATCGTTTACATGGGAAGTTTTATGAATTCTTTCTTTATTGTGTCCTTCTAGTCTTCTCAGTCTGCAAATCCATTTTATGAGGGGAGGGAGAACGTCCTCGGGTGCTAATCTGAGATATGAAAAGCTCCTCGGGTCCGGTCTAGCAGATGACACAGCCACCTTTCTCCTTGAAGGGGTTCTTCTCCTCTGAAATGCCTTTGACGAGGGTGTCCTCCTCCACTCCGGCCTGAATGTAGTCCTTGATTTCCTCACAGCATTTAGATGTCTGAAACGATCAGGCAAAGGTGTTGAGATAATGTCTCCTGGCAGCTTATTTCGGTTTTAAATGATGCTCCTGATATAATTATCTTTGTAAAATTACATTCAAACAGGCAAAGAACTTACCAACCACCTCTCAAGTTTCACTTCAATTTTAAGTTGGTTAACTTCCATTACGGCTTTGTCCTTGTCCGTCAGGTCATCCACATTTATGACTGGCATTGTCTATCAAAACAAAAAGAAACAGTTTGCTTTTTTTAAATATTCACTCACGTAGAGAAGATAAATTATCTTGAAAGATTTTACCTCCCGCTTAAGAGAAAGAATAGGAATGTACTCACGGCTGCTTACAGGGAGCGGTCCTTCACCCCCGATATCCTGCTGAAGAATCCCTCTCCTCTCCCTCAATCTGGGTTATAAAGTAATCTGCATAAACAATTCTAATCCGCTAATCTGATTAAAACAAGGCCCCACTGAGTGATCACCCCAGTAGCTAAAGTACGCTATCAAACGAGAAGGCCAATCCCACAGGTGTCCATTTGGGTCCTTTTGATGTTAAAACAACAAGGTTTATTTACTGTATATTGCAGATTAAACCTGGATTTGTGCTATTTTGACTGTGTTTTCTTTGGTCGGATATGGGTTAAGGGGTGGCGCTTCATGTATCAGGTCATTTTGATAAGACGGCTAATCTGTATTTAGCCTCCACCTGTCAAGGTGGAGACATATCATTGTCCTGAACATGACTGCACCGCAATTTTCGGGTCACATTCTTGTTCATGTAAGAAGATACGAAGTTATGGGAAGCCACAAATCTACATTTCACTTTTGTTTCAATGCTGCTTTCAGAAGTAAAGAATGGGAAGATTAGTGCGGAAACACTGTTCCCTTGAACATGACTGCAATCACTAAACTAAACAAATGATAATTTAGGTCATAAGCTTGATAATGAGGTGACTGTGAGTGAAAGTGTGAGACTGAAATCCAGTCAGATGAGTGTACGGTGGGAATACAGACAGAGTAAAGATCAGTAAATGTTTCACAAGAGTGTCTGTCTCACAAAGCAAACACAATAGCTTCTTGTTCTGGGGAAATTTACAGAGATGCTGCATCACCTTCATCCTCTTCCTCCTCTTCCTCCTCCTCACCCTCACTGGCTTGTCACAGTGATTGTTTAACTCTTCTCATGCAGAAAGGATTCAAATGGGTTGCATATTAGATTAGTCACTATTGACAGTCTTCTAGTCAAATATTACAACGTTAAAAAAAAAAAAGAAAAAAAAAACCCGTTCCCGTCTGATGTCATGAAAGAATTCATCACCAATCTAATCGCGCTGCTGTGTAGTATTGGAATGAGTCACAGCATCCCCGCCCCTGACTTTCCCCTGGGAAACACTACTATAAAACTGGATCTGACTGGGATGGTCGGCAGAGCAGGAAAGACTTAGACCAAAACTTACACAATGGATTTCTGCACACTGGCGCTGTTTGCATTCGTTTCCACGTTTTCCAACGTTTTGGCGCTGTCACCCAAAGGTAACCTCCGCTGCGTTCTGCGCTTTATTATCTTAGCGAACACTTTAAAGACGAAAACCAACTTGTGATTGGCATTTTATAACCCCGAGGCGTGTGAGGATCCAGTTTGGTTTCTGTTGAGCAACGTTTAAAACCTCATTTGCCTTGTGTTTTATTTCATTTTTTTTTATTTTAACACACTTTTCTTGCTGCTTTCAGGCGTGTGTCTCCTTCAAGTGGACGAGGGACCTTGCAGGGGAGAAATCGAGCGCTATTACTACAACACCATCACTCAGAAGTGCGAGATTTTCTACTATGGAGGCTGCCAAGGGAATGCCAATAACTTCAAGAGTTATCAGGAGTGCCAGAAGACATGTTTCAGAATCCCAAGTAAGTTCTCAGTGTGATGAGCACACACTCCAGGGAGAATGGTGACCTTGACCTTGAAAGTTACTCGTTTTTTAAAATTATTATTCTGTATTTTAAAGTGAAAAGTGCATTTTTCTTCTCACATAAATGAGTGAGTCTTGTACCAACCAGATGTGGTTCCTAAACCTTCACTCTTCTCCACAGAGATTCCCCAAATCTGCAGGTTTCCCAAAGAGGAGGGTCCCTGCCGTGCCCTCTTCCCCCGCTACTTCTTCAACATGACCACCATGCAGTGTGAGCCCTTTTACTACGGAGGCTGCCAGGGGAACTCCAACCGCTTCCAAGACCTCACCTCTTGCATGGAGTACTGCAGTCCGCAAAAAAGTTAGTAGAAGCTTAGCAGACACATACTGCTGTTGGGCAATCCTTAAAGTGTTGCATCTCACGGCTGTCTGCTGGGATGCACAACAAAGACGGCCGTAAACTTGAGCAATTCCTCCACTAAAGATTAGTGGCCTCATTGTCACGTGTTTTTGCTTTCGCAGCTGTTCCCGTGCTCTGTCTGGACCCTCTGGACAAAGGGAAGTGTTCGGCCTCCATAACTCGCTACTACTACAACAAAGCCACCAAGATGTGCGAGGAGTTCGTCTACTCGGGCTGCGGGGGGAGCAGCAACAACTTTGTGTCGCGGCAGAGCTGCATGGACGTGTGTGTCAAAGGTGTGTTTGAGTGAAAGTTTAAGGCGTTAGAGCTGAACTTGTTGAATGGACAGATAATGTTTTATTCAGACAGTATTTGGTCAGCCACTCAGCACCACTTATGGTTTCAATTTGGAGAAACAAAGTAAGAAGGGAATTGGGAGGAGACCAGATTATGCTTAGCTGATTACATTATCAGGCCAGAAAAGAAAAAAAAACAAAGCATGGTATCTTAAGGAATCGCTTATATGAACTGAGGGCGGTTGATGTCCTCCAAAACTATTCCATGGACAACAGCCAGTCATTATGTTATGAGCTAGAGGACAGCAGGCGAAATCAGTCTCTTGCAAGTTGCTTAATTATGGAAAGCCACTAGAATTATAATCAGTTGTTTTTCTTTTCTTTTTTTTTCCAGGAGCGAAAAAGCAGACGGGCCAAGGAAAAGGTCGGCGCATGAGACGCAATCGACACAATCACATCACGTTCTTGCAGGCGTAGACGTCCGACGCTCCTTCTCAGGAATTCTCATGTAGACAAGTCCTCAGTGGAAAACTAACGTGTTTGTTTATGCTAAAAATGTTGACCGGGCTGTATTTGTAAGGCCTTATGAGCAACTTCTCAAATGTGACTTTTGCTGTATGCTGTGGATGAAGTTTGTTACTACTGCACTAATGTTCCCGATTTTGATACCGTATGTGTGTTTTGTATAAGTAATACATGATTATAGAGAACTTTATTATTTTCTCAGCTACATTTTTTTTTTTTTTTTGGAACAAAATATACAGAATTTGTTGAAGAATTCTGCCTTTCCTGTACTTTGACGCTGCTGTTTTAAGCAAATGACTGTATTTGTGTGCTATTTTAATAATTAACAAACTCAAAATGTGTGGATGTCAACTTCTTCAGTCGCTGGCACGCGTTCATGTAACCTTCAAGAGCGTCTCCTATTTCCCTGGAAAAAAAAAAAAAACAGGCCCGGCTGGTTTTTCTGCACTTTCTCTTGCTCGCTTTCACTTTATCTCGGAGCTGCTCTTCCATTCCTCACTAATGCTGCTGTCTTCCCTCCTTATCTGGAAATACTTTGCAAGGCACTCGAGCCTATCTCGGTCGCTTCAGCACAGCCTCGATTCAGGAAGGAAGCAATCAGGGAGTAGCAAACACTGCTGTGGCAGGTTCATTAGAACTTTATGTTTAGGAGGAGACAAAACTGCAGGTTTGCAAAATGTGCATCATGAGCATTCAGAAATACTGTCTGGTAATGGTGTACAACCTAGTTACAGTGAATTAAACACATGCTTACATGCAGATCATTTAATAGGATTTTCCTTTTGTTTTTTTGCCACTCTGGGTTTCTCAGATAATACATTTTATATATCACAAGAGAACCTCATAAAGTGAAGGAGGCTATTAAATTCAATGTACTCCGTGTTTCTAGAATATCATGACTGCCCTAAATCTTTTCTTTGTTCCATCTCTTATAATAGAATAGTTGAAGACAATAAATATTTATGGACGATATCAAAGGAAACTGTTCATCCATCTGGCTTTGGCTATAAATAGCAATAAAAAGCAAATACATCTGGCAGGGCCTTTTTGCTATTAAGAACCGAAGCACAGAGGGAGGGTGTCATCCTGACAGTCTGAACGCAGCTCCTTAAAAGCCACATAATCTTGAAATCATCACTGCTGCTCGCGGTGGAACAGGTGGGGGAATTGAGGTTAAGCTCATTTCAGCTTCTCGGCCTTTGGGGGGTAATTTTTAATAGTGAATTAAAGAATGAAAATCAGCAATGCAAAGAAGTAAGAATACCAGCTTAGTGGCATATATGAATATTTAAAAATACAAGTGAAAGAACTGATTTCGAGAGGTTTAAACCTTCTTCCCGTTCATGCAAATTCTGACCACTCCGATGACAAATCTTTCGCTCGGAGCCTAATCACACCTCGTGGCAACGTTTTCTTATTTGCTCGTTAAATCACCAAACGACATGACGAATGCGTGAGGTGGTGCAAACAGACACAGTGTGTAACTTCTAATTCTAACAAAGCTCTGTCTTGGACCATTAATGGGTGGCAATATCATAGCTACTGATTGCAAAAGATTCGCTGTAGTTCAGGGGCCCTGAGATGAATTGATCCTGTGGTTATTTCATTAGCTGCAGTACATTAGACAGAGCCATTTTGTGCCTCGTTCTCAACGGTGATTAATGGACATTTACACTGAAACATGATTCCCATTTAAAACTGGATTAATTCTATGTAGGAGGCTGCTTTTCACCATACGTCAAACGGTGATATTATTTTGTGTTGCCATTCAACACGATTGGTGATGATCTTATGATGCTGCTTTTACATGTAGGTGTAGGTGGAGGTGAGTATCTTAGATGCCCCCTGGTGGCAGATTCACAAATCTAACAACAGTCACAAAGAACCAAAAAAAAAGGAACTTTGACACTCCTGTTTTGCAGCACAAGTAAGTATAAATATGCTCTAAAAACTTTTAATTAAAAGAAATAAAGTTTAATGAAAAATATGAAAGTTAATGATCGTGTTTTCTGGCTGCTTTAAACTAATTAAATGCACGTACGTAGGATTTTGCAGCAGGTACTCCGATCAGCAATCCATGCTGAGCACCCCAGGCGTCAGCTCAGCAGCATTTATTCAATTACGGTCGGTTTCTGTAAGTGGGTCTTGTTTGCTAAAGGAAAAACTGTCTTCAGGGTGATCTCACAGCTTAGGGTATAAGAGAATAACAACCAAAGGGGCAGAGATCCAGCTGCATGTTTTATGAGTCTTTTTTCTTTCTTTTTTGGGTGCAAAACCAAATCATGTTGAGTTTCTCATCTAAGAAATCTGACACTGGTCATTTAAAAGACACAGCAAAAGAAAATGTGATCCTGAGCTGATGATATAATATAGTTTAAGACAAGTCAGTGCTGTCAAATGTGCTCATGTCTGTAAAGCCACAAACAGGAAACCCATTATAGCTATTTGTGATATTATCGACAAACAAAACAGCTTTCTGTATAGACTGATGGATAGTTTTGTTATTGCTCATGAAAACTCCCTATAACAGGATGTGAGCACAAATGTTGAATGGAAATGAAACTCACTGGGTGTAAATTTTCCTTTCTGTGATCAATGCGTCTGCAAAGTTCCCAACTTTCATTTTGGCAAGACCCTTTAAAAGGAATAAATGTTTGCATCTCTTAAATCATTCAATAATTTATTGACTTTGGGGTATTACTCAAGAAAAAAAGCAAATGCTTGGAGTCATTTTGTAAAACTAAGCCTTCCTTTGCCTTTCTTGTCCTGTAAATTACCTGTCACATTCTTACATTTGTCTCACAAACCCTTTAGTGAGACGTTCTGACCCCCGGCCAGGTAAGTGTGTTGGTTTTTTAGCACCAAAAAAAAAGATCCAACCTGCTAACAGGTGCAGAACTGTCATCCCAGAGTAGCATACGCCATGCAAAATTTCTATTTTAAGACCCACCATTTCTTTGATGTCAGACTTTGGTCTGTTTAAACTGTAGACCAAACATGTCAGCTGGCCTCGCCGCACCGACATGGCATCAGACTTTCCCCAACATTCATCACCCTCTGTTGCGTAAAGTGGAACATCTCTGTCGCTCTCCCTTCCCCTCACACTTTGAAGATTGATGTGTCTGGTGATGAGACTCTGGGCCGTTCCTCACTGTCCGTCTGGCTGCCAAACATATGTAGCTGTTGTATAATTAAACAAGCCGGACAACTCCTTGCTTCTGCTCCTGGGATGTTTTGGAAGCCTTTGCAGGTACAAATTACGAATTGATTCCCGGAGAAATGCCAACCGAAAGAGATCGGAGAGAGTTGTGTGTGCACACTGATGTGGACTGTGCTCTTAAAGTGCTCCTCAGGTGTTAAATATTATATCAATAGACTCATATCATAGTCTCCACAGGTCTTTATAACCAACTATGTTTTTGTTGTTTTAGAAAAGCATCTCTTTTTGCAGCAGATGAGTCATAGCTGTAAATAACTATCCTGCTTCCACTCTCCTGCAAATGGGCCACAGTCCTTTTTCATCAAGGTTGGGAAGATTAAAAATGATTTGAGCAGAACGAACAAATACAGGTGACTTTTTTTCCTCCCCCTAAGTTGGGCGATGATTTTTTTTTTTCACAGTTGAAAAGTGCTAAAACGAAATAAATAAAAAATCGAGATTTCAATCTGTGAAGGGGTTCCTTCATCCTTTTCGCCTGCATGCTTCAATTACCAGCTTCCCACAGGTCAGAGACTTTATATTGAGCTCCTGCTCAGCAGTTCTCTGCAGACTTTGCAGCTCCGCACATTGGCACAATTGAATTTGCAGCTTAATAATGTGTGTGTGTGTTTTTTTTTTTAAATATATATATTACATTTAGGAAAGCTGACCCACCACATGCTCCCTAAGTGTCGAACAGGAGAGCTGCAAATTCCTTTAATAAGCAGTTTGTATTGCAAACTGCAGCAGAGAAGCCATCTGTCTTTTCCTGATGACTGTTTGAAGAATGTAGTTATCAACAATTATGAACGCAGGGATGTAAAGGAGTTTGGATTGCGTACAGCACATGTGCGAAGCAGGCGACTAAAATAAACCAGCTCTTCACATTTCTATGACACTCGTGTATCAAGTTATTTGAGATCTCCAGGTTTTCTCCAAGTATTTTCGTAGCTAAATGTAGCATGACATTACTGGCACGCTTTCACGGCAAACATTTTGACTTGTCACAGCAGGAAAAGCACAGGCATAACTAATGACATTAATGATGCCTCGACTCTGTTCAAGTGTCCCAGTAAAACCGTGATGCCGTGACAGCCAGCTACCTAGTGTTAAAATCAATAATCACACCGCTAAGATCAGCCTCTGTTTTACAGCTGTGAGGGATCTGGTTAATCAGGTGCTCAAAACAAAGGAGTCAGAAATAGGTTCAGCTACAAGATGGCACTCAGCAGGGGCGAACAGGTCCAGAGGGGAAAAAGCCAAGAAGAAATCAACGGGGAACAGGCAAAAGTCATAACAAAGCAGCAGGCAGACGGGGTGGAATGCTGAACCTGAAACACAATAGATGATGTGGCATCGAGGGCGAGTGAGTGAGCGGTATGGTAAATATACTACGGATCTCATATGAAGGTCAGGCAATTGGTAAATGGCAGAGAGCAGTGAGGCCTTATTGCCGGCCAATGTGAGGAATGATGGGGTTGGAAATGAGAGTTGCTCAGGGAGAAGCACAGAGGAGGAAAATGAATTGCTGAGGCTTAACCCGTGACAAAGATGCTGCTGAAGAACAGCTTCTGATTTATTCAAGTCTGACTCAAAGTGGCAGTCTCCGACATTTCCCTTTTGTTCTCCTTGTCGGCAGCTACGGTGATGTAAGCAGTAATTGCAGGTGTGCTTTTAAACCTCAGATGCACCAGATCCAGACAGCGCTGTCTGTGTGACATTGTCGGTCCGTTAGCAGTCGGGAGCTGGACCACGCCTCCATAACAATTTGAGGTCATAGCTAATGAAATAGACAAGGGAATAAAGTCTTGTGAGACAAGGAATAAACAGCTGAGGTATGTCACTTCACGCACAGGTGAGTTGAAGATGGTTGGATGGAACACATGCAGCTTGTGTTTGTGCACAGGAATGTCACCATGTAAGGAATTCCATATAACTCAGTACGTAATGTGCTCAACGGTCATTACCTCATTTGTTTTAATGAAATTTTCAAGACATCAGCTTTAAAACTGTGCCAACGTTGAGCTATTTGCTACTGCACATTCTGCACAAAAATCCTGAACTCCCTCTGAATCAAATATGAGGTTTTGTTAGTCTGAGTTAGCCAATCAAATGAGAATCTCAAAACCTATTCTGTTTTC